GATGTCACAGTAGGTTTTGAAAAAGATAAAACTGTGATTTAGGCATTTTTAGCACTTGGGTAACTGAGCCGGCCAATGGCTGACCGAAATCTGTGAATATTCTGGAACAAAGTGATTCTTTTAAAGCACGGAATGGCCAATCTGGAGGTCACAGTAGGTTCTCAAAAAGAGAAAATCACGATTTAAGCATTTTGACCTTATTGGGTAATTGAACCGGTCAGTGGCTGACCGAAATTGGTGCAAATTCTGGAGGAAAGTGATTGTTTAAAGCGAAAAATGGCCGATCTGGATGTCACACTGGGTTCTCGAAATCAGAAAACCGAGATTTAAACACTATTGAGTAAGTGAACCTACCGTACCCCTTAATCTATTGTAAGCCAGGTCAAACCCTTCCTCACCTCGATCCCCCGCTATCCACCGTACTCCTGTCGTGTTGATTTGACTGTGATCGGGCGCTTGAAATTGGTAACGGAGAATATGTTGAAGATTTCGTCTTTTCCGATTCCTCTTTTCTAAATTGACAAAAATTCGGATTACAGTCTGCTGATTTACCCTTGCTGTATCGTTTGCAGCTTCATTCTTAGCCGTTTCCCGCAGAATATCACCACCGCGATGATCGACAATGGGACGAGAAAGAGGGAAACGATTCCAGCGATGATTAACTGAAAAGGAAAGACTGGAATTGGAATCAACAAGAAATAGCCATAATTGGGTAATTAAACCAGTTGTTTAAAGTCCAAAAAATGGCCAATCTGGATGTCACAACAAGGTTTTCTAAATCATAGAATCAGCAAAATCAACTTGGGAACTTTGGTAAGGAGCCGGATGGTAGCTGGGTATTTTTTGAAATAATTTGTACGATAATCCGATTGTTTAAAGTCAAAAATGGACGATCTGGATGTCACCCTATTGTTTCTGAATCATAGAATCATAATTTACGCAATTTAGACACTTTGGTAAGGAACCGGATGGTAGCTGGGTATTTCCTAATAAACTTTGTACGATAATCCGGTTGTTTAAAGGTCCAAATGGCCAAGCTGGATGTCACCCTATTGTTTCGAAATCATAGAATCATCATTTACGCAACTTGGGCACTTTGGTAAGGAACCGGATGGTAGCTGAGTATTCCCTGGCAAACCTTGTACGATAATCCGATAGTTTAAAGTCAAAAATGGACGATCTGGATGTCACACTAAGTTTTCATAATGAGAAAATCGAAATCTAGGCGATTTTAGGCCTGGGTGACGCACCTACTGTACCTCTACCGTAACCCTCCATCTGCTTCACTTACCGTAATCCAAAAGGGATCCTTGTGCTCGGGTGTCTCCGTCGTTTCCACATCGTTCTCCTTGTATTTCTGAAAATCCTTTCTCTCCTGTATGATCGACTCCCGGAGTGGATTGTAGAGTTTATTTTGCATCAAATCACTGTAATCGAGCTGTGATTTATCTGGTGAAGAATACCTTACTCCAATTCGTCGGAAATCTCCCCATCCGTTGCTTTTGTGGCAAATATCAGAAAGAAAAGAATAAATATCGTAGAAAAATTGCCCATTTTGTTGTTGCCCTGAATAGTGTGCATATTCTGAAGGAAAGTGATTGTTTAAAGGAGGGAGTGGCCAAGCTGGATGTCACAACAGGTTTTGGAGAAGATACGATTCCGATCTAGGCCTTTTTGGCATTTGGGTAACTGAACCGGGTCAGGGGCTGACTGAAATCTGTGCGTATTCTGGAGAAAAATGATTGTTTCAAGTATTGAATGGCCAAACTGGATGTCACAGTAGGTTTTCAAAAAGATAAAATTGGGATTTTGGCATTTTGGGCCTATTGATAATTGAACCGGTCAGTGGCTGACCGAAATCTGTGGATATTCTGGAGGAAAGTGCCTGTCTCAAGCACAGAATGGCCAATCTGGATGTCACAGTAGATTTTCAAAAAGAAAGAATTTCGATTTAGGCACTTTGGCCTATTGGGTAATTGAACCGGTCAGGGGCTGACTGAAATTTGTGCATATTCTGGAGGAAAGCAATTGTCTCAAGCACGGAATGGCCAAGTTGGAAGTCACAATAGGTTTCCAAAAAGATAAAATTTTGATTTAAGCATTTTGTCCTTATTGGGTAATTGAACCGGAAGAGCGCTGATTGAAATCTGTGCCTATTCTAGAGCAAAGAGGCTGTCTCAAGCACGGAATGGCCAATCTGGATGTCACAACAGGTTTTCAGAAAGAAAAAATTTTGATTGAGGCGATTTAGGCGATTCCGGCATTTGGGTAACTGAACCGGTCAGTGGCTGACCGAAATCTCTGGATATACTGGAGGAAAGTGCCTGTCTCAAGCACGGAATGGCCAAGTTGGATGTCACAGTAGGTTTCCAAAAGGATAAAATTTTGATTTAAGCATTTTGTCCTTATTGGGTAATTGAACCGGAAGAGCGCTGATTGAAATCTGTGCCTATTCTAGAGCAAAGAGGCTGTCTCAAGCACGGAATGGCCAATCTGGATGTCACAACAGGTTTTCAAAAAGCTAAAATGGCGATTTAGGCATTTTGGCAAAAAAAATTGGGTAAAGGTCAATTTCGCGGGCTGAAAATCGATGTGTTTTCTAATTGAGAGAACTATTTTAGGGAAAAACCGTCAAATCTTTTCTCTCTTTTCCCATTTCCTCTCAATTTTCCGCGAAAACGCGAAAACCCGGAGATTTTTGTGAAAAAAATCGACAAAATTGAAAAAATTTGGCGAAAAATCAAAAAAAAAATTACAGGGATTTTGAGGAAAATTATTTGAAAAACTTCAAAAAAACTCGAATTTTACGGGTTTTTTTGCATTTTAAACGTTAAAAAGATGATAAAAATGGCAAAAAATGGCAAAAAAAGAGACAAAAATACTTCAAATTTAAAAAGATTACATCAGAAAATCCATTTTTTTTTCTTTCAAATTTTTCAAATTTTTCAAATTGATGAGTCATTTTTTTTGAAAAAAACATTTTAATTACGGCTTTTAGCACCCGAAAAAAACCTCTAAAATGGGTAGGTGAGAAAAAAAGCGAAAAATTTTTGATAAGAAACTTTTTCTCAGTCGCTAAAAAACTGGGAAAACGAGTGACAGAAAAAAACAAAATTTCAAGCTTCATTTTAAAATTCTCGGCAAGATTTATGGGGGATTTTTGAGCTGGATGTTACAAGCTGGATGTCACACTAGATTTTCATAATAAGAAAGTCGAGATTCAAGCAATTTTAGGTGTGGGGATAGGTACTGGATCGGAACCTACCAGGAACGATCGGAATTGGGTAATTAAACCAATTGTTTAAAGCGAAAAATGGACGATCTGGATGTCACACTGGGTTCTCGAAATCATAGAATCATCATTTACGCAACTTGGGCACTTTGGTAAGGAGCCGGATGCGAGCTGGGTATTCCCTGGTAAACTTTATACGATAATCCGATTGTTTAAAGTCAAAAATGGGCGATCTGGATGTCACCCCATTGTTTCATAATAAGAAAATCGAGATTCCAGCAATTCTAGGTAAGGGGTAGGTACTGGATCGGAACCAACAAGAAACAATCATAATTGGGTAATTAAACCGATTGTTTAAAGCGAAAAATGGACGATCTGGATGTCACACTGGGTTCTCGAAATCATAGAATCATCATTTACGCAACTTGGGCACTTTGGTAAGGAGCCGGATGCGAGCTGGGTATTCCCTGGTAAACTTTATACGATAATCCGATTGTTTAAAGTCAAAAATGGCCAAGCTGGATGTCACACTAGTGTCTCAAAATCATAGAATCAGCATTTACACAATTTTGACAAATTTTAACTAAACCGACGGTAGCTGGGTATTCCCTGATAAACTTTGTCCAATAATCCGATTGTTTAAAGTCAAAAATGGGCGATCTGGATGTCACCCCATTGTTTCATAATAAGAAAATCGAGATTCCAGCAATTCTAGGTAAGGGGTAGGTACTGGATCGGAACCAACAAGAAACAATCATAATTGGGTAATTAAACCGATTGTTTAAAGCCAAAAATGGACGATCTGGATGTCACACTAGGTTTTCATAATAAGAAAATCGAGATTCCAGCAATTTTAGATCATATTGGGTATCACTAACCATTGAGCTATTCAGAAATGTTGATAAATATCATTAAATATTCTTATCTGAAGCTTTCTACAAGTTCTGTGACTGCCAGCTGGCACAAATAACAGCTTGAAACCTTGAACTAACGCTATTTTAGCTAGATTTTTGAGCGAAACGTTGATCCTCTTGAATTTGCCCAAATAGCTAAAGCATTTAGCTCTAGTTAACGATTGTTCCTGCTTTCTGGAGGTCACAGATAATTTTTCTGTTTATAGCAGAGCATTTTAAATAGGTTTCTTTGTGGCCGAATGGCTAGCGAGCTCGGTTGCTAGGTCGAGGGTGCTGGTTCGAGTCCGCTTATTGCCAAAATTTTTTTGCATTTCTAAAACTCACAATTTTCACAATAAAACAACTCACAATAAAACTCACAAACGCTAGAAGCGCGCGTTTACATGGAAGCACAAAGTATCCCGCCGCGAAGCAGGACTGGGCGAATTTTTCATGGAAAATCTTATCCAAGTCAATTCTCCCAATTACTACTGTGTTTTCTGGAAGGCAAATTGATGTTTAAGCGTCAATGTGATGCGCTAGAGAGCGTGCGTTTATGTGGAAGCACAAAGTACACCAAAAAGTACAGGACTGGGCGAATTTTTCAAGAAAAACATTATGCAATTCAAATCTCAAAGTTACTATTGTCTTTTCTGGAAGTCACATTGATGTTTAAGCTTCATGGTGGTGCACCAGGAGCAAGCGTTTACCTTAAAGCACAAAGTACACCAAAAAGTACAGGACTGGGCGAATTTTCCAAGGAAAACATTAAGCAATTCAATTCTCAAAGTTACTATTGTCTTTTCTGGAAGTCACATTGATATTTAGGCACAAGTTTGAATCAATTTATTCGATATCAATGAAATCTTTGTTTAAAGCCTCGCAGAATCGCGTAAATCGACTCGAGTGACCCTGGAAGTTTGATTTTTGAATATTTAACGGATTACAGTAGCTCTGAACGACTACAGCAAACAGATTACGGTAAATAGAGGCCTACAGTACCCCCAGCTTCCAGACTCACCTTTCCAGACACTCGGCTTTTCTGATTTTTGCCGGATGACTTCCTGGTTGATCCTGGGGGATTTCTTGATGCCTTTTTGCAAAATATTCAACCCAATATTGTAGAAAATCGCCATTTTTTCCACGGAAATTCATCGGTTCACAGGGAAAATCGGCTTTAAACGATTCAGCGACGAGTTGACTACAGTAGTAGGACTCCTGGCCCTAGAATTTGAATATACCAGAAGCTACCAGAAGCTACAGTAGATCGAGACAGCTAAAGCAACCTTTAATACTCGATTTGCCTCAGTACAGCCCTGTCACCACAAGAACAGAGCTGGGTGATAGCCTGAAAGCTGTTCACCCTTATAACTTGTTTCTGGCTAGACAGATTTTGATGAAACTTTGAATTCTTCTTAGTTGGATATCATGTAAAAATTGGGATTGTTCAGATTTTTCGACAATCGATTTTAATGTTACCCGTGGATCGTCGGTTACAGGACTGGATCTTTTTCTCGACTCTAGATAAAGCAAACTTTTTGATCTTTTGGTTATACCTTAGTTGGATGTCAGCTTAAAATTTGGCAAAGACAGATTTTTGATAACGCTAATTTTCGAGAAGGCACTTTTAGGTCAACTACAGTACGATGTCGAACTTAAAAAGTGCTTGCCACAATTTTTCAGCTACCACCTCTGTGATTGGTGTCGTTTAAGGGTTATCGACCATGGAGAGCTCGAAAACTTCGTTATTTAAATAGATTTACTAGCGGGTTTTTGGTAGGTTACAGGACTGGCTCTTTTTCTTATTTCTAGATAAAGGAAACTTTTTGATCTTTCAGCTATATCTTAGTTGGATGTCAGCTTAAAATTTGGGAAAAACAAATTTTTGATATGCCTAATTTTCAAGAAGGCATTTTTAGTCGGTGACAGGACTGCTTACTTTTCTCGTTCCTTGAAGGAGCAAAGCTTTTGATCTTTTGGCTATACCTTAGTTGGGTGTCAACTTAAAATTTGGCAAAGACAGATTTTTGATATCACAAATTTTAGAGAAGGCACTTTTAGTCGGCTACAGGACTGGCTCTTTTTCTCATCTTTAGATAAAGGAAACTTTTTGATCTTTTGGCTTTTTCTTAGTTGGATATCATGTAAGAATTGGGATTAATCAGATTTTTCATTTCTTTGTTTTTGGTTTTTGGAATAGGTTCACCCAAATAACTTTTTTCAGAGTGGACAGATTTTAATGGAACTTTGGGTTTTTCTTAATTGGATATCATGTAAGATTTGTTATTGATGGGGCCAGGCTAGGGCTAAATCTAGGGTAGGCTAGGGTAGGCTAGGTTCAACCTCATAGGGAAGCGGTAGGATTGGACCAAATGAAATGAGCGATACACCATCCGACGCAGAATCTCACGCTGATTCCGAATCAGCTTTTCGTTTTTGAAAGGCGTTTTTCTATAAAAAGTTATAGGTGCTTAAAGTTATAAGAAAAAAATGCGAAAATTTTGAGGCAAATGGATTTAAACAGGTTTTCAAAATGGTCACTAGGGTGGCCGGATGGTGTAGTGGATAAGAGGCTTGCATGCAAAACGATCTGGGGCTATTTTTGCTCAAGTTCGATTCTCTTTTAGAGAAAGTCAACTGAAAGTCAACAAAAAAACTGAATTAAAACTTAAAATTGAAAAAACGAATTCGAAATTAGCTACGAAGCTGTTAATTAGCTAGCTACCGTACCTTTGAATTGCGGAAATTTGGCGAGAAAATATCATTGTACTCGCAGCCGGCTTTCGATTCAGCGAATGAGAGAGCTCGTTCCTAGAATTCTGATTACAGTACTCTAGTACAGTACGCTACAGTACAGCTACAGTACGCTTCTTGAACCCACCAAACCCTTCCCGTCAATCGTACCATCGCGGAAACGCCAAATCTCATAGGCTTCAGGTTTTGATCGACTTAGTGCCTCTTTGATCGTTTCCTAAACCTTTGTGACATCCAGATCTTCGAAAAAGTACAATAAAAACAGCTATCGTACTCTTTGTACTTTAAAATTTGACCTCTTAACCTTTTTCACTCCGATAGTTGGCGCGTGAATGAGGAGATCGTCGCCGAGACAAATTCCCACGTGATGTGGGTCGAGGTCGATGCTGGGAACTAAACCAGGCAATTGTAAGGGTGGATTGGTGCGCCAGAGAGCCGGTGGACGCACAAAGTACACCAAAAAGTACAGGACTGGGCGAATTTTGAAGGGAAAACGTTATGCAATTTAATTCTCAAAGTTACTATTGTCTTTTCTGGAAGTCACATTGATGTTTAAGCTTCAAGGTGGTGCACCAGGAGCAAGCGTTTATCTGGAAGCACAAAGTACACCAAAAAGTACAGGACTGGGCGAATTTTGAAGGGAAAACGTTATGCAATTTAATTCTCAAAGTTACTATTGTCTTTTCTGGAAGTCACATTGATGTTTAAGCTTCAAGGTGGTGCACCAGGAGCAAGCGTTTATCTGGAAGCACAAAGTACACCAAAAAGTACAGGACTGGGCGAATTTTGAAGGGAAAGCCTTATCCAATTCATTTTTTTAAGGTACTACTGTGTGTTCTGGAGGGCACAGTGATATTTAAGCTTCAAGGTAGTGCGCCAGGAGCGCGCGTTTATCTGGAAGCACAAAGTACACCAAAAAGTACAGGACTGGGCGAATTTTTCAGGGAAAACCTTATCCAATTCAATTCTCCCAGTTACTACTGTGTGTTCTGGAGGGCACAGTGATGTTTAAGCCTTAAGACAACCCTTAGAAGTCAAAAGTTTGACTCACCATCGACCACATCGATGACCGCTCGCTCAAACGTGTTCTCGGTGGGTTTTTTGAAGAAAAATATCAAGAAACCCCGCGAAAATGGGTTCATTTAAAGAAAAAAATAGCTAAAATAGCTAAAATAACTTTAATAATAGCAAAATTAGTAGTCTTTTTAAGAATTTCCGAAATTTTTCTTATCTTTTTTTCATTTTTCCACTGGAACAACGAAAAATTGATTGAAAACACGCAAAAAAAAAAGGAAAAACAGAAAACAGAAGAAGAAAAATAGACAATTTTGACATTTTTCAGCTTTTTGCAGAGTTAATAATTGTCTTGGAAACCCAGATAATTTGGAAATTGTCCTATTTGTTGTTGCCCTGAAATTTGTGCCTATTCTGGAGGAAAGCCATTGTTTCAAGTATGGAATGGCCAAACTGGATGTCACTGAAGGTTTTGGAAAAGGGAAAATAGCGATTTAGGCATTTTGACTTATTGGGTAATTGAACCGGTCAGTGGCTGACGAAAATCTGTGGATATTCTGGAGTAAAGCAATTGTTTGAAGCAGGCAATAGCCAAGCTGGATGTCACAGCAGGCTTTCAAAACGATAGAATTGCGATTTTGGCATTTTGGCATTATTGGGTAATTGAACCGGTCAGTGGCTGACCGAAATCTGTGGATATTCTGGAGCAAAGTGCCTGTCTCAAACAAGGAATGGCCAAACTGGATGTCACAAAAGGTTTTCAAAAAGATAAAATTACGATTTAAGCGCTTTGGCCCTATTGGGTAGCGGGGCCCTATTGGGTAGTGGGACTGCCTGACTGCGCGAATTTTTAAACTTTCATTTTTAACCATTTAAATATCTCAAGATGTTGCGTGTGTTCCAGATCGGAAGCTCCAATTGCTTGAAAGGTCTAAAGTTACAGACAAAGTTCCAAAATTCCTCCAGCTATGCAACTTTGATCAGAAAACAAAGAAAAAGCAGAAAAATAGTTAGAAATTGAGTCTAGATATATGAAAAAGCAAAAAAATGCAGAGATTTTCTGTATTTGATGGAGAAGTCAAGGTCAACAAAGGCTCCGAGGCAGCTAATCTCTCCGAAAAATCTGTGCGTTCTTTGTGCGTTCTTTGTGCGTTCTGCGAAATTTCAAATTCATTTCTAAGCAATAAAATATGAAAAATCTTGTAGTGTGCGTTCCAGATCGGCCATTTCTTCTCATCATTTCCCCAATCCATTCCAAGTAAACCCGGGCGGCAAGCCGGCAAACAATTTCTTGAATGATTCTGGCCAATCGTCGTGCGGCAAAGACTCGTAGATCCAACGGGGCAGATCACGATCAAATGAATACCATGGAAGGCCTAAATAGATAAATTAGAGCTCAAAATACTCCAGATTTCGGCTTCGAAACGCAATTTTTGATGGCCAGAGTTCAGGACTGGCGCTTTTTACAAAAATCTATGGCTAGATAAGCAAAATTATCCAGATATTTCGAGGATCTGGATGTCAAAAGAGCCAAAAAATTGAATAGATTAGCTTAATACTTAAGTGTCTAAGTGGCCGAGTGGTTAGCACAATAGGCTTCCAGTCTACCAGTCCTGGTTCGAGTCCGCTCGGCGACAAGGCGTTGTTTTTTCGATTTCAATCACTTCAAAACCAAGTGTGACATCCAGAATTAGCATTTAATTACTAGCCTTACCCTGATCTTGCTCAGGATCTGGATTTGGATGATTTAGATCGAGATCCCATCCAAATAATGAAAAGTACGTTAATTATCGATTTCAAAATCTTCAAATCCGTATATCTGGATGTCACATCACATTTTCGATTAGTTTTCAAGTACATAGGAGCCTTTCGGAGTCTCGACTCTTGACCTTTGACGATCTCGGCGAAATAAGAAAAAATACATTAGCTATAAATTTTTAAACTTTAAAAATCGTCTATCTGGATGTCACAGAGCATTTTAAAACTCTAAAAATAGGTTAATTCCTTAGGGGTCCAAGTGGCCGAGTGGTTAGCATGCTAGACTCCAAGCCTGAGGGTCCTGGTTCGAGTCCGCTCGGGGACAAAGCATTTTTTTTTCGATTTCAATTACTTTAAAAGCAAGTGTGACATCCATAACTATCATTTTCAATGTAATTCTTTTGTTTTGCGAATTGTAGAGCAATTTTTTGGGTTTAAAGCTCAATTTTTGAGCCTTGCAATCGAATTTTCGAAGTTTTTCGAAGAGAAAGTCTTCGAAAGGCAAAGCAAACTCACCCAATCGCTCGGCCAGATTCACCTTCGACACCCCGGGGAAAGTGACTCTCACTCGTGGGTCCAAGAATGGATTTGGCGAGGCGCGCAATTTGAGATCACTGAAACTTTCATATTGGCCGAATTTCAGTTTTTATCTATGCAATCTCCTTTGTGCGTTCCAGAATGGACAAATTTATGTTTAAAAGGTCACGTGGAAGCTGGGCGTTTACGTGGAAACACAAAGTACACGAAAAAGAACAGGACTGGGTGAATTTTTCATGGAAAATCTTATCAAATTCAATTTCCTAAGTTACTGTTGTGCTTTCTGGAAGTCACATTGATATTTAGACTTCAGACTGGTGCGCTAGAAGCACGTGTTTACATGGAAGCACAAAGTACACCACCGCGGAACAGGACTGCGTGAATTTCTCAACGAAAACCTTATTCAATTCATTTATCCAAGTTACTATTGTCTTTTCTGGAGCTCATATTGACATTTAGGCTTTAAAGTGGTGCGCCAGGAGCGCGCGTTTACGTGAGAGCACAAAGTACACAAAAAGTACAGGACTGGTCGAATTTTTCCTGGAAAACCTGAACAAATTCAATTCTCCAGGTTACTATTGTCTTTTCTGGAAGTCACGTTGATGTTTAAGCTTCAATCTGGTGCGCCAGGAGCGCGCGCCTATGTGCAAGCACAAAGTACACAAAAAAGTTCAGAACTGGCCGAATTTTTCCGGGAAAACGTTTTCAAAATCGTTTATTCTGGGTAATATTGGGCTTTCTGGTAGGCACCTTGATATCCAGTGCACCAGACAACGCACGTTTACGCGGGCGCACAAAGTGCACCACTCGAGTTACAGGACTGGGCGTTTTTCTCACGGAAAACCTCATCTAATCGAATTCCCTATAGTCTTACCGTAATTTATGGCACGCACAGGAATATTTAAAGCTAGTAAAACTACCGTAAAACCGTTTCGTCAAAATGTGGCCCGTCCTCCTCAGTGTTCTCCGGAAAAACGCTGGAAAATCGAGAATTTGATTAATTTTTTTGAAAATCAGGCTTACCTGCTAATTAATAAGAATAAATAAAATAGATTTGCAATCATTTTAGCCAAAAGTTTTTGAGAAATTTGTGAAATTTGAAATTTTTGAAATTTTTGAGGTTTTTCATATCTCTCACTTCGAAAATCGAAAATTTCGAAAAATTGGAAAATTTGGAGAAAAAAGTGTTGGGAGAACTGGAAAAGTTTTTGAAATTTTGAAAATAAGATATATAATTTGTGCGCAAACGTTTTAAAAACGAGAAAAACAGTTTTTGAGAAAAAGTTTTGGTTTTAGACAAAAACGCAAATAAAGCAATTCGACGCGGAATTTCACGCTCATTTCGAATCTTTTTCGTTTTGTGCATTCGATGTGCGTCCCAGATCGAACGAATTTCAGCGAATTAATTGAATATCTTAAAATTGATAGGAGAAAAGCGGCCATTCTCAATCCACGGATATCATGTGGATCATTTGACCACTGAATATCTTTTTATCTATCCAAAAATATTGTGTGCGTCCCAGATCGAACGAATTTCAGCGAATTAATTGAATATCTTAACATTTATGGGAGAAAAGCGGCCATTCTCAATCCACGGATCTCATTTGACCGGTGAATGTCTCTTCGGTCTCTTTTCTTTTCCAGCAGCTACAGTGACCTCCAGCTTGACCATTTCTCATTAATTAATTGAATATCTTTAAGATTTGTGGGAGAAAAGCGGCCATTCTCAATCTATGAATCTCATGCGGATCACATTTTACCACTGAATATCTTTTTATCTATCCAAAAATATTGTGTGCGTCCCAGATCGAACAGATTTCAGTGAATTAATTGAATATCTTAAAATTGATGGGAGAAAAGTAACCATTCTCAATCCACGGATCTCATTTGACCATTGAATGTCCCGTCGTATCCCGTCCGTCTCTTTCCACTCCAGCAGCTACAGTGACCTCCAGCTTGGCTATTTATCAGCAATTAAGTGAATATCTTTAAGATCTGTAAGAGAAAAGCGACCATTCTCAATCCATTCTTATGCAAATCTCATTCGACCACTGAATGTCTTTCTATCGATTCAAAAATGTTGTGTGCGTTCCAGCTTGACGATGCCTTAGGAAATGAATTTGCAGAAATAACAAAAAGTCGCCATATTCCTCATGTTGATGTTTTTGGATGAAATTTGAATGAAACGAGACTTTATTCCACTAATTCTAACAAACAAAAGAATAAAAAAACGAGCAAAAACATGAAGACTAACGTTTGAGAGACACAAAAAATGCAAGAAAAACAGAAAAACAGAAAAACAAATTTAGGACCGATAATTTTTGACTATGGCCAGTTTTTATTGAAAAATTTGATTCAAAAATCGAAAAAAAAGCGCGCGCTTTCACGTGAACACAAATAAATTTGCATTTAAACTTTTTTTTGACTTTGCTCGTTTCGGCCGGGTACGGTAGTTTACGACAATTGCTTAAATGCTAGATTTTAGCCTCAAAATTGTCTAGAATCCGCTGTGCGTCCCAGGATGGCGAAAAATGAGTTTTCTGGAGATTTATAGCTACCGTAACCCTGACGGATACGGTAGTTAACCGTCAGGGGCAGGTCGAACAGAGGAATTGAAGATATTGACTTTCAAATCAGCTAGAATCCTGCTGTGACTTCCAGATCGACGAAAAATGAGTTTTCTATAGGTTTCTACGACTACCGTAGCCCTGAAAGATATCCGACAGAGATACGGTAATCGAGAATAGCCTAAATGGTAGATTTTAAACTCAAAATCGCTTAGAAAGCTTTTGTGACCTCCAGATCAACGAAAAAATGGTTTTCTATAGGTTTCTACAACTACCGTAACCCTAAAAGAAGCCCGTCAGGGATACGGTAGTCGACAATAGCTTAAATGCTAGATTTTAATCCCAAAATCGTTTAGAATCCCTTGTGCGCTCCAGGATGGCGAAAAATCGGCTGTCTATAGGTTTCTAACTACTAGAATACGGTAGTTTACCCCACAGGGTTACGGTAGCTTACGTCAAACAGCGAAAGTGAAGATATTGACTTGCAAATCAGCTAGAAACCTTCTGTGACGTCCAGATCGACGAAAAAATAGGTTTTCTATAGGTTTCTAACTACCATTCCCGTCAGGGGCACGTGAACCTGAAAATTCAGTTCAGTAAACAGTAAAAGCCGACATTTCGATTCATTTCTCTTCGAGAAGCCTTCTGTGACATCCAGGAGGACGAAAAACTTTGGTTTTATAAAGTTTCCAACTACCGTACTCATCGTATCCCGGGCAACGTGCAAAACGCGAACCCGTAAAGCGCTGCGCGGTGCGGTTTTGCTGAAATTTCGATTCAGCAGTCCAATTTCAGCAAAACGAGTAAATATAGGCAAATCGGGACCAAAGAGCTGACAAAAAAAACGGATGAAATCCTAACAAAGGGATCGAGAATTACAAAAAAAAAGCTGAAAAACAAAAAAAAAGCTGAAAAACTGAAATTGCGTGGCGACAAACGAGGTGAGATACGAGTGAAAGTGGAAACGAAGATGAAGAAAGAATGGAGGAAGGAAAAATGAGGGTTTTCAGTCAGTTGTGGATAGTCCAACTTTGACTGAGATTTTCTCTATGTTTTTATATTAGAGTTTACCAAGGAAGTTGTGGATTTCTATAACCGAATTTCATAAGGAACATTTTAAGACCAACCACAAGTTGATTGGTCAATTGGAAGTTGAGATATGGAGGAGAAGAGAAGAGTCGTCAAACTCCGACTCTCTAGTTCTGGTGAAATTTATTGAATTCTAATCATTTAAAGAAGTTTTCAGCAGCTCTATTTACCTAATTATTGTTTATAATTTGTTTATAAACGATTAAAACCATTTTAAAATTAGAAACTCCTTAAAAAGTAAAGAAAAATATCCCTTCGGACACTGAGCGGATTCGAACCAAAGAGGTCAGAAGGCCGAGCAGCCTGAGAGTCGAGCACACTATCCACTGCGCCATCCAGTCATTCGAGACCAGCGGGAAAAAGGCGATATCCCGGCGGTACCGTTTCCAAAGCCGCTTTCAAAGCCGTTTTCGAACCCGCATCCTTTAAGGGGGCGTTCCGTCGGCCCGTCAGGAGAGCAGCGATGGCCGAGTGGATAGTGAGCTAGGCTCTAGAACCAAGGCGCGCGGGTTCGATTCCCTCTCCTACCAAAGTTTTTCTTTTTTCTCAAAAACTTCTTTATAATAATTATATTGAAAAACACTTCTTTCTTTATTATTTCATTATGTTTATTTCTTTATGTTTACGATGTTTTATGATCTTTATAATGATTTTAAAGCAATAATTGGCAATGGTGATCTGTTTGTCTTCTGTCTATTCGAATTCTGACAAAAACCCTCAAATTTCCTCAATAATAAAGCTGTTTTTCGAGAAAGTCACAAAAAGAATACTGATTTGATCAATTTGATCATGCGAAACGACAGTAAACAGGCTCTATTTCTCATCTTTTTTCTCCAGTAGTGGCTCGGTTTCCGTTTTCTCGAGATTCATATTCGACGAATGCGGAGATGGACGAATCACCTGAAAATAGAGGTTGGGAATGGCCTAGAATGGTCTTGCTAGGCCTAGTAAGGTCATTCTAGGGCTAGCAGGGTTATTCTAGGTCTAGAAAGGCCATTCTAGGGTTAGCAAGGTCATTCTAGGCTTAGCAAGACCATTCTAGGTCTAGAAAGGCCATTCTAGGCTTAGCAAGACCATTCTAGGGCTAGCAGAGCCATTCTAGGCCTAGCAAGACCATTTTAGGCCTAGCAAGACCATTCTAGGTCTATCTAGACCATTCTAGGCCTATCTAGACCATTCTAGGCCTACCAATCCCCTTCTAGGCCTACCAATCCCATTCTAGCCCTCCCCTACTTTCCCACCTTGATCATAATAGCATCTTCTTCCTCTTCTGGTGTCGCAATATGTTGCTGTTGTTGATCTCTCTCTTTTCCACTAAATTCAGCAATTCTTTCTTTCCCAACAATCAAACTCACTCTTTAGCCTCTTTTTGAAGAGAAGTTTTCGAGTCACGAGATGAAATATGCTTCCACATACCAGAGGAATTCAACTGAAATCAAACTTTCTTTCGAAATCTTCAAAAGAAAACAATTTTGACAGTGAGCGGACTCGAACCAGGGAGCTCCCGGAGGCTAGCAGCCCTAGGGACAAACACACTATCCACTACACCATGATGTCACCGTGGGTCTGGAGAAAAAAAGCCGTTATATCTTAGGGGCGTCGCTGCCGAAATGGCGACCGCGACTTTTCAGAGTGGTGAGCTTTAACAAGGCCTTTTTGAAGGGGTCTCAGAAAGCAGTGGTGGCCGAGTGGATAGTGGGCTAGACTAGAAAGCCGAGGGACTTCCAGTGGGACGGGTTCGATCCCCCATCCTACCTTTTTCGTGAAAAACACTTCTGTATGATGTTCTAAATAGAAATTACCTATTTATTGACAGCCAAGAGACCTTTTTTGGCTGAAAGAGATCGTGCTAATTACCCTAAAACCTAACTAACGCTAAACGGAACAAAACAAACAGCCTAAAATTACGCGCAAACAAAAAACACCGAAAACTAAAGTCTATAGAAGTTTTGGCACTTTTATGCCTTTTCCTAGGCCTTTCCATACCTTTTTCCGCCTTTTAAACCGTATTTAGACATCCATGAATGGCTTAGTCTCTTAAATGAGCCATTTGAAGTGACCTGGATCAACGAAAAATGAGAATTTCGAAATCCTAAAGCTTTCAAGGAGAATTTTGAAGATAAACATTGAATTAAAGTGATTTTTTCGTAAATCTGGAACTCACGACGGGTTGCTAACTGATTTTTGAGTGAAAATTTTCAATTAAAAAATTTTTTTTTTTACCTCTTTACTAATGTTGATTTGATGACTGGGCTCTTGGATGGCGGCTAGCGGGATCTTGATCACATTCCCTGATGCAGTCGGAATGTGCAAGTGTGCCTCGGTTTTAACGGCTCGAATCGTCGTTTGGTGCTCGTCGTTTGTCTCGATCTCGATCTCTTCACCCTGGAATCGAAATGGTGAGTGAGAGAACGAAAAATTAAGCAATTCCAAACGATACCCCATTCCTAAACCTTCAAAAATGATCCTAACCTAGCCAGAGCTTCCCTCTCTATCCTCTAATCAAACTAGCCATCAATCTAGCCGTTATCATCTCACTTTCACTGTTCGACGTCATTTCACTTTCGCTATCTAAGCTAACTATAGAAAATCCATTTTTTTTTCGTCCTTCTGGAAGTCACAGAAGATTTCGAAACGATTTTGGGATTAAAATCTAGCATTTAAGCCATGGTCGACTACCGTATCCCTGACGGGTATCTTTTACGGGTAGGGTAGTTATAGAAATCTATAGAAAACCTATTTTTCGCAATCCTGGAACGCACCGAAGGTTTCAAAACGATTTTGGGATTAAAATCTAGCATTTAAACTATTGTCGACTACCGTATCTCTGTCGGATATCTTTCACGGGTACGGTAGTTGTAAAAATCTATAGAAAACCATTTTTTTTCGTCGATCTGGAGGTCACAGCAGGATTCTAGCTGATTTGCAAGTCAATATCTTCATTTTGCTTGTTCGATGTAGGCTACCGTATCTCTGACGGGTGAACTACCGTACTTGTCAGCTATAGAAACCTATAGAAATCTATATAAAGCCCATTTTTCGCCATCCTGGAGCGCACAAGGGATTCTAAACGATTTTGGGGTTAAAATCTAGCATTTAAACTATTGTCGACTACCGTATTCCTTTCGGCTATCTTTCAGGGGTACGGTAACTATAGAAGTCTATAGAGAACTCATCTTTTCGTCGTTCTGGAGGTCACAGAAGGTTTCTAGCTGATTTGCAAGTCAATATCTTCACTTTGGCTGTTTGATGTAGGCTACCGTATCTCTGACGGGTAAACTACCGTATCCTAGTAGTCAGAAATCTATATAAAGCCCATTTTTCGCCATCCTGGAGCGCACAAGGGATTCTAAACGATCTTGGGGATCAAATCTAGTACTTAAGCTATTGTCGACTATCGTATCCCTGTCGGCGATCTTTCACGAGTACGGTAACTATAGAAGTCTATAGAAAGCCTATTTTTCGTAGTTCTGGAGGTCACAGAAGGTTTCTAAACGATTTTGGGGTTAAAATCCAGCATTTAGATTATTGTCGACTACAGTATCCATGACGGGTGTCTTTTAGGGGTACGGTAGCTATAGAAATCTCCAGAAAACCCATTTTTCGTTGTCATTTTCCATTGATAAACCCTTGACCTCACCTCAGACTGTCTCCTCTTCAAATCCTCTTTCTTTCTCAAATGGAAATCGGGCATTGGATCGTCCAAATATTTGAGATCTTTCTCGGTGAAGAAACGCTCGATCACTTTCCTCACACCGACCATCACCACTAACTAAAATGAGATGAAAAACGTCTAAAACGAGTTAGAGCGAAAATTTTCATAATTGCTCAATCAAAGACCTAAGATTTGGCAACCATCGCTAATTCTGGAGGTCACCCTATAGAATGAAACGATTTTGGAGTACGGTAGATCGAAATTGAACTACGGTACTCGTTCAAAATGAGTTTAAGGCTAGATTTTCATAATTGCTCAATCAAAGACCTAAGATTTGGCAACCATTGCTAATTCTGGAGGTCACCCTATAGAATGAAACGATTTTGGAGTACGGTAGATCGAAATTGAACTACCGTACTCGTTCAAAATGAGTTTAAGGCTAGATTTTCATAATTTCTCAATCAAAGACCTAAGATTCTTTAATTTTTGCTAATCCTGGAGGTCACACTAAGTAAAGAAAGGATTTCCAGAACGAGATCGAGATTCTAATTTGGTCAAATTTGGTCGAGATCGAGATTTGGTCAAAATATGCAAATTTTTTTTGCAAACCATAATCGGGAAGAGAATCGACGTGATCTTGATCGATTTCACCGTCCATAAACCGGCCAAACAAACGCACTGCAAATGAATGGTTAGAAAAGAGACTTCTGGGACTTAGAGGCTTCTGGAGGAGCCTCTAAATCTGATTCAATCAGCTGACTTCTAGAATCGTCAGAACACGATAAAAGTACCTGGAAGAACGTGAATAGATGGATTTTCTTGATTGGCACGTGTCTGATGTAGATGGTGTCCGGTTGGTATCTAAGAATTAAAGATTTCTCTTGTACAGTAGTACAGTAGTACAGTAGTTAGTCTGAAATTGTGGAAATGCTAAAAATGTCCTGAAAACATTCCCAGAAACTAGGGTGACATCCAGAATTGATAAAAAAGTGGTCAAAACTTGTGAAATTTGATGGTAATACTGAGATTTCCCTCAGATGAGTAACGATGAAATGAGAATGGGTGATTTTAAGCCGTTTTTTCAAACTAAAAGCGCTAAATTCTTATGCCAATCCTTTATCTGGAAGTCATTTTAGATTTTGGTGTATGGCTAAATGCTTTAAAATACAAAAAATGGTCACCCTCTGTACTATCGAATACTATATACGGTAGGTCTGGAATTCTGGAATTCTGGAAATGCTAAAAATGTTCTGGAAACATTCCCAGAAACTAGTGTGACATCCATAATCGCTAAAAAAGTTGTCAAAACTTGTGAAATTTGACGGAAATACTGAGATCTCCCTCTGAGCACTGACCGTGAAATGAGAATGGGTGATTTTGAGCCGTTTTTTCAAACTAAAAGCGCTAAATTCTTAAACCAATCTTTTATCTGGAAGTCATTTTAGATTTTGGTGTATGACTTATTTGGTTTATAATATAATAAAATATCCAGGGTCGGGGTGATCCTGTACTATAGAATTTTATGTACAGTAGTACAGGAGTTCTGAAAACATTCCCAGAAACTAGTGTGACATCCATAATCAGTAAAAAAAGTGGTCAAAACTTGAGAAATTTGATGGTAATACTGAGATTTCACTCTGAGCACTAACCGTGAAATGAGAATGGGTGATTTTAAGCCGTTTTTCAAACTAAATGCGCTAAATTCTTAAGCCAATCATTTATCTGGAAGTCATTTTAGATTCTGGTAGATAGAAAATTTATAACTAAACGGTTTATAATAAAAACATATCCAGGGTCACCCTTTGTACTATGTACAGTAGCAAATAGCACTTTCGTACAGTACTTTCTGTCTTAAAGTCTCCCGTGCGCTCCAGATCTCGAAGATCTGATGATTGTTTTTCGATTGGCTTGGGGAAAGGGGGAGAATTGTTTAGGGTAAGCTTGAGCTTGATCCTTCTAGTCTAGGATTGATAAAACTCACTTCATTGGCATCAAGAACAACAAAATTCGATCCCATAGCTGAATGCCGCCCAATGCAGCAATGCCCATGTAAAGGAAAACACCGTAGAGGACAGGCATCGGGATGTGCCCCAATAACTGAAATTGCATTTAGTCTTTGGATTACGGTAATTAGATACGGCGAATCGAGACGAGACAGAATCTTTACAATTTTTAAAATCCGAATCGCTACGATTCTAGTGTGACATCCAGATTGAAGAAAAACGCAATTAAAACAAAATTGGTTTTACCAATTTTTCGGAATCTTCTCAAACTCTTACCAGTACAAATCGAGTACAGATGTTTTGGTGAAAAACGAAAATCCGAATCACTACGATTCTAGTGTGACATCCAGATTGAAGGAAAATCGCCATTTGAATCAAATGGCTCTTGTCGATTTCTCGGAATCGTTGCAAACCCTTGGCAGTCCATATCGAGAACAACTGTTTCAATGAAAATCGAAAATCTGAACTCTAAAAATCTAGTGTGACATCCAGATTAAAGAAAAAACGCTATTAAAACAAAAGCAAAAGCAATACAACAAACAAAATCAACTCGACAACTTAGTTCTGCAAGAGTTTGCGATGATTCTGAAAAATTAGTAAGAGCCATTTGATTCAAATGGCGATTTTTCTTCTATCTGGATGTCACACTAGATTTCTTGGAGTTCAGATTTTCGATTTTCACCAAAAAATCTGTACTCGATATGGACTGCCAAGAGTCTGCGATGATTTCGAAAAATTGGCAAGAGCCATTTGATTCAAATGGCGATTTTTCTTCAATCTGGAGGTCACTCTAGAATCGTAAGGATTCGGATTTTTGATTTTCATTGAAACAGTTGTTCTCGGTGTGTACTGGTAAGAGTTTGCGATGATTCCAAAAAATAGGCAAAAGGAATTTCGTTGCAATTGCGTTTTTTGTTCTATCTGGAGGTCACACTAGAAATTCTAGGGTTTAGATTTTCGATTTTCATTGAAACAGTTGTTCTCGATTTGTACTGGTAAGGGTTTGCAACGATTCCGAGAAATCGGCAAGAGCCATTTGATTCAAATGGCGATTTTCCTTCTATCTGGATGTCTCACTAGAATCGTAGTGATTCGGATTTTCGATTTTCACTAGAACAGTTGTTCTCGATATGGACTGCCAAGAGTTTGCGATGATTCCAAAAAATTGGTAAGAGGAATTTTGTTTTAATAGCGATTTTTCTTGTATCTGGATGTCACACTAAAATCGTAGTGATTCGGATTTTCGATTTTCACCAAAAAATCTGTACTCGACATGTACTGCCAAGAGTTTGCGATGATTTCGAAAAATTGGCAAGAGCCATTTGATTCAAATGGAGATTTTCCTTCAATCTGGATGTCACACTAGAATCGTAGTGATTCGGCTTTTCGATATTCGGCAGGGAAGGATGGCAAAATCTTTATGGTCTTACTGTAGGATACTAGCTGTCAGTTTACCGGTAAACGGATCAAGTTTTAGAAACTAAAAGAAACCTTTGTCATCAACACCGACAATCCGATCAGTATGAAAGTGACGATTCCAGTGACGCGTTGCTCTCGAACTCCAATGAATTGAGCCACTTCGCCAGGCGCTTTGCTCTCACTTTCCACCTGAAATTAGTACAGATATGTACTGGAGGATACTATGTACTGTACTATGTACATAGTATTGTGCTGTACAGTGCCCACAAACCTTTAGGGAATTGATGTGATTGATGGAGAGGACTGTGGCCGCTACGTAAACTGGTAGGCCTAACCAACCGACCATTAGAATCAAAGCAGCTAAGACGAGAAGATCCAAATGATAGCCACAACCCTCAAAAAAGCTTTTTCATCAAATTTGCATGCAATTTATGCCAAATTTCTTTATTTTGACTTCATTTAGGCTTCTAGAAATGAAGCTTGATCGAATTCCGACCTCTTTCAGAAAACTTGCTGCCAAACGACTGCTTTAATCCCAAAGTCCTAAGTCTTATATATCAAAATAAAGCCCAGATTCTTGGCTACAATTTGATACCAAGAACATCTTGATTAGATTTGTACAACTCATTTTATAAGCTCTTGAATAAGCTCAAATCAATCAGCTCTCAAGAGAGACTTGAGCTTATTCAATAGCTTATAAAATGAGATGTACAAATCTAATCGGGAAGTTCTTTGTAGTAAATTGTAGCCAAGAATCTGGGCTTTATTTTGATATATAAGACTTAGGACTTTGGGATTAAAGCAGTCGTTTGGCAGCAAGTTTTCTGAAAGAGGTCCGAATTCGATTGTCTTGATTTCGATTCAAGTTTAGAAGGTTAGATTTTTTGAGTTTTGAGGTGGAATCTAGCTGTTTTTGTAGCAAATCTTTCGCTGATTCCGAATATCTAGGTTGTTTGTGGGGGAATGGGTTCAAATTTTCGATTTTAATCCATCTAAAGTTTGGGTAGAAAAAGGTGTTTTTTTTTGGAGGGGGTCGCCGCGTAACTATGAAGCGATTTCCCGGCCACCCTCAACATGTCGTGGTGGCCGAGGGGTTAGTGCGCTAGGCTTCCAGGTCGTTGGGGCCTAGGGGGTGGCTGGTTCGAGTCCGGCCTTCGTCCCAGGTTTTCATTTTGTCAGAAACTCTTGATAAAGTCTTTGCTTTGAAATTCGTGTCAGTAAAATGGTCTAGCTCTTTCCAATTACTCGATTTCAATTCCAAATCAAAAACCCACTTTCTTCAGCTTGTTCTCTTTTCGATTGACGATGACGGCGGTGATTTGTTGATCCATGAAAATGAGGATACAAGCGAGAAGGGATGGCACGAAAGCGACTAGAGCTGACCACCAAGGATTGCCGTCAAACGGGAAAACCACCCAGCCACGACCCTCCCAAGTTGGCTGGAATGTAGAAGATCAAGTCAGTTGTGAGTTGTCAGTGTTTAGAGGACTCTAGCGGACTCTAGAGGACTCTTGCAGACTCCTAGAGGACTCTGGCAGACTCTAGCAGACTCTAGCAGACTCTAGAGGACTCTAGCAGACTCTAGCAGACTCTAGAGGACAGTAGCGGACTCTAGAGGACTCTAGCAGACTCTAGCAGACTCTAGAGGACTCCTAGCAGACTCTAGCAGACTCCTAGAGGACTCTAGCAGACTCTAGCAGACTCTAGCAGACTCTAGCAGACTCTAGCAGACTCTAGAGGACTCTAGCAGACTCTAGCAGACTCTAGAGGACTCCTAGCAGACTCTAGAGGACTCCTAGCAGACTCTAGAGGACTCTAGCAGACTCTAGCAGACTCTAGAGGACAGTAGCGGATTCTAGAGGACTCTAGCGGACACTATAGAACTCTAGAAGACTATAGCGGACTCTAGAATAGCTACAGTAACCCTAGAGTACTCTAGAGGACTCTAGAATGGCTAGGGTACCTCTACAGTCCCCTAGAATCGCTACAAATTCAGCAATCGCTTGCCTTCTCGCTTCGAAACGAGGCTAACAGCCAATAAAACGAACTCGTCCTTCCTCTGAAACGAACCCTGAATGTGCTTGGCACGTTCAACTTTGGCGTGTTGATTCCGCAGAAAATATCCACTCCCGTCATGATAACAATCGCGAAAAAAACGGCAAAATCTGAGGCAATTTGACGAACTTTTGCTGGGAAATAGCTCGCGTTACGGCTACCCTGAAAATAAGCGATTTTTAAATGAAAACTCGGGTTTTGGATCGGGATCTTGGCCAAGCTAGACAAAGCTAGCTAACAATTAGACCAAAAGCTTTGATTCTAGGCCTGTAAGCGAGGCTAGAACCAGGTCCAGAACCAGGTCCAGAACCAGGTTCAGAACCAGGTCCAGAAACAGCCTCCGAACCAGAATCAGCTTTCGGACCAAAACCAGGCTTAGGTCTATTCAAATCAAGCTCAAGTCGGTCTTTTTCGTCGTCCTGGATGTCACAGAAGGCTTCTAGAAGATAAATGGATCGAAATGACAGCTTTGGCTCTCGACAAAAGTACAGAATTTTCAGCTACCTGAAAATCTAGAGGAAACCTATAGAAATGCTATAGAAAACGATTTTTTTCGTCGATCTGGAGGTCACAGAAGGTTTCTAGTTGATTCACAAGTCAAAATATTCACTTTCACTGTTCATAATACCCCTGACGGGTAAACTACGGTATCCGTCAAGAAAACGGTAGCTAAGAACCTCTAGAAAACCCATTTTTCGCAATCCTGGAACGCACAGTGGATTCTAAGCGATTTTGGGGTTAAAATCTAGCATTTAAGCTATTGTCGACTACCGTATCCCTGTCGGCTATCTTTCAGGGATACGGTAACTATAGAAGTCTATAGAAGACCTATTTTTTCGTAGTTCTGGAGGTCACAGCAGGTTTCTAAACAATTTTGGGGTTAAAATCTAGCATTTAAGCTATTGTCGACTACAGTATCTCTGACGGGTGTCTTTTAGGGGTACGGTAGCTATAGAAACCTATAGAAAACCTATTTTTCGTAGTCCTGGAGGTCACAGAAGGTTTCTAAACGATTTTGGGGTTAAAACCTAGCATCTAAGCTATTGTCGACTACCGTATCGATGACGGGTAAGCTACCGTACCCGTCAGGGGTTGGACAACTATAAAAAGCCGATTTTTCGCCATCCTGGAACGCACAAGGGATTCTAAACGCTTTTCCGGTCAATCTAAGCTCACCTTTAGCTTGATGGCTATGAAGAAAGTGCCAAGTGATAACAGGATTGACATCAGCAATTTGTCGTACAATGGATAGCAAGTATTGCCCTCGAAAGTGCCAAGTAAAGCTCGACACTGATCCAAACCGACCTAGAAATAGAAAGAAGTGAAAGAGAAGAGAATGGGAACCTTTGAATAATCGATAAAAGTTTGATTGTGCGGGATTTCCCATCCTTTCTTCACAATAACTCCAACAGCTTTCTCGAAATGTTTCTGCAAATCGTCAGGCTTTATCGTCGGCATCTAAAGCAGGCTCTCTTTCTTTTCTTTCACTTTGCCTCTAAAACAAACCACACAATCACATCGGCCATCTTTTATAAATCGATCGTAATTAATAATATCAAGTTGACCGGTGATCTTCCAAAGTTTCATCACGGCTTCGTAGATGAAAATGACGGCGATTAGTGTTGCGAAGGACTCCTCGGTGAAACGGGTGATGTAGGAAACCTGAAGGATTTGAATCAAGAAGAAAAATCAATGAAATCAAGAATTCCTTAGTCAAAAAAAACCAAATACTACTGGAAACACAAAAAATCGCTCCTCCAGTCCCAGTTTCACCCTAATTCACTATAGTGCTTTCCAGAACCCTCAAAAATCGTTCAATCAAGCTGGTTTGCTTTGTTAGATTTCGAAATTTTCACCCAGTCCTGTAAATTTCCCGACAAAAAATCGAGTTTGAGTCAAATTTTTGCTTTGGATTAAAGAAACCAGAATTTTCCCATAATTTTTCTTCAATTCTGGAAGTCACACTATCAGAAAATAATGAAAAATCTAGGAAATCTCTTTTTAGGATCATGGCGCAGTGGGCCAGGAGAAGGGTGGTGGGCGGAGGGTCGAGGGTTCGATTCCGCCGGGAGCCAAAATATTTCAAAGCTTTTTTTTCTTTATGAAAATTGATGAAATGGCTATAGTGCTATCCAGAACCCTCAAAAATGGTAAAAGAAAGCTGTTTGCTTCATTAGATTTCGAAATTTTGAGCCAGGCATGTAAATTTTCGAAATTACTCAGGAAATTCTAGTTTTCTCTTCGTATTTTAGCTTTCTAGATCTAACATTCATTTTCAGGACCTCCAGCATCGCATACGGTAGTCTAGAATCCATTTTTCAAAACTCTTAGCCCCCTCGAGGACTCGAACCAGCACCCCTCGGATCGAGGATCAAGCGCGCTATCCACTGAGCTATATCTGCAAATGGTTAGATTCATTATCTAACTATTTTAATGGGTTCCGTGACTTCCAGATTGACTCCTGGCTCTTGTAAAACTTTAAAATGCTTAGAAAATTTGGTTTTAAAGCTTAGAACTCGAAAGCCTAAAACTACCGTAACCAGATACAGTAAGCTTTATTTTTTAAATATCTCTATAGCTTCTGTGACTTCCAGATCGACGCTTAGCTATTGTGAAAGTCTAAAAATATTGAAGGAATCGTTTCTAAGGCGCCGAACTCAAAACCCCAAAACTCTGGAGTACTGTAGTAGGATCGGCTATATTTTAAAGATCGCTATAGGTTCTGTGACTTCCAGATTAATGCTTAGCTATCGTAAAAGTCTAAAAAAGCTTAAGGAATTGTTTCTAAGGCGCCGAACTCGAAAAATCGTTTGTTTTCTAAAGTTTTCAGCTTTTTCAAGATCTAGAACCTTACAGGATCCAAAGCCAGTTACCCTAGCCAGCTACGTGTTCATTACAGTACTCTACAGTACTCTACAGTACTCTACAGAGCCCTGCAGTACTCTACAGTGCTCTAGAGTACTGTAGAGTACTGTAGAGTACGGCAGAGTACGGCAGAGTACGGCAGAGTACTCTACAGTACTCCGTTACAGTCAAAAACACTCACCAAAGACGAGGCATCGGTGAAAACCATCAAGAAAAGAATGAATGCTGTCCAGATGTGAATCCAGAAACGAAATGAGAGATATCTGAAGGGGCAGTTGATGAAAGAAACGCAAAGAGTCGCTTACTTAATCCCCATCAAAGTGCTCATATCGTAAACAATCGTTTCGAAGACCAAAACGGGACCAGTTGAGCCGATGATTGTTAGTGGTTGGCCGGAGAAGAGATGGTAAATAATCCCGCAGATTGCGCCTAGAAATTCGGGGAAATTTGAAATCGCTAAAATATAGAATCGATTTCATCACGGTCTGCTTGGATCTATAGGACTTAGGAAAAAGTTCTCTAGCTAAAGATTCGTCCTGGAGGTCACAGTACAAGATCGTCGAAGAAATTGAGCTCAATTTTGAGATTTTCACAAAATTTCATTTCTGCCCATTTTTGCCCCAGATTGCGCCTAGAAATTCGGGAAATTGGGAAGAGGAATTGCTAGAATATCAAAGCTAGAATCGTCCTAAATCGATAAAATCAAGAAAACAGAGAAAAATGCGAAAACTTTTCTTCGGCCGGACTCGAACCCGGGGGGGGACGGTTTTTCGCCTGGAAACAGCGCCCACTACCACTTGGCCATACCCCCACCAACTCCAATTCAGTTTTTTAATGGAAAATTTTCTAGCGTGACATCCAGATCGAATCATGGCATTAAAATTTTGGGGCCTTGATAAAGCGAAAGATCGAAAAATCGTTCGAATCAGTTCCTGCCCAAAATTTTGCGAAAAAACTCAAAAATTGAACAAAAATCAAAAGAAAATGTTAAAGTGTGCGTTCCAGGATTGCCGAAAATCGAAAAATCAAATCCAAGAACATCAAATTTCGATCGAATATTTGGCTCGATCGGTATCATCGGGGTTTTACTTGGATAGATAGAAGCTAGGAAAAAGTTAGGTAGCCAAAAGTCCGTTCTGGAGGTCACAGTACAAGATCGTAGAAGGAATTGAGCTCAATTCATTCATTTCTGCCTCGGCCGGACTCGAACCCGGGGGGGGGCGGTTGTTCGCCTGAAAACAGCGCCCACTACCACTTGGCCATACTCTCACCAACTCCAATTCAGTTTTTTCATGGAAAATTTTCTAGCGTGACATCCAGATCGAATCATGGCTTCAAAATTTTTTCATTTTGATAAGCGAGTTAGCAGCAAACGGTTTGAATCAGTTCCTGCCCAAAATTTTACGAAAAAAACGCAAAAATCGATAGTAAATCAAAAGAAAATGTTAAAGTGTGCGTTCCAGGATTGCCGAAAATCGAAAAATCAAATCCAAGAACATCAAATTTCGATCGAATATTTGGCTCGATCGGTATCATCGGGGTTTTACTTGGATAGATAGAAGCTAGGAAAAAGTTAGCTAGCCAAAAGTCCGTTCTGGAGGTCACAGTACAAGCTAGAAAAGGAATTGAGGTTAATGCTGCTGTTTTACGAATTTCATTTTTGCTCTATAGATCTCGTCAAGTTTTAGCCAAAAATATTAAAGTTTATCGAAATCTAAAAATGCTAGAGTTAATCCTGGATATCACAGACAAACCTCCAAAGAGATTCTCGAGCGCAGCCATTCTTTGATGTGTGGCCTCTTCAAGTAAACCACCGAATGTCACAATTGGAGCCAATAAAGCGAAATACCTAAAGAAACGGGTTAAAGGTCCGTTTAGGTCCGTTTAGGTCCGTTTAGGTCCATTTTGGGACTCACATGAAGCAAATTGTGGCCAAGCACTGCATATTTATCGCCTCTGTGTAGTCAGAGATGTAGTGCGGGAGCTAGAAATACACATTTAGCTTAAAACGCTTATCGGTGAAAACTAAGCGCTGGAAGTTTCGCTGTGACTTCCAGCTTAGCCAAATAGACAAAAGAAAAGCTCGAACCTTTCGTTTAATGTCGAGAATGAGTCCACCAAAGTATTTCCCGGTTCGTTGCAAGGCTGGATCGTTACCGTGTGACCCTGAAATGAGGACAATAAATTGGCTATAGACTATAGCCCAGGCTATAGCCCAGACTACTCAGCCTACAGTACAGTAACCCTTATACAGCTCTTACCGTAGTCTCATTTCGAGTTTGAACGATTTTCTAACGGCTGGCTTGATTCTCTGCTTTTTAAGCAGCTAATTACTGCGTTCTGGATATCACAGAAGAGCTTGAGCTGGTTTCTAGTTGAGTTTTACGCCTTTGAGATGAATCGACTTGCGTAATTAAACCGGCTTGAAAAACTTGAGCATTTAAAATCCCATCTGATTTCTAATGGTTTTTTCTTGTTTCCTGGATGTCACAGTACCAATCTGCGCAACAATTTTCATTTGTTTTTGAGTTTAAAAGGTTTGTCAAGATCGACTTGCGTAACTAAACCGGCTTTCTCCAAATTTTCTATCCAGTACCCAAATGCAGAAATTTGATCGATGCAACCTTGCTGTGACATCCAACTAGAATAAAACCAAAATATGGAGCTAAAAATTTCCTGCAAGCATCCACTTTCCGAGGCACTCCTCCTCCCGTCAAAAGTGCCTGCCTCAAAACTGCCCCAAAACCCCCCGTGTTTGATGTCGTTTAAAGGTTATCGGCTATGGGGAATCCGAAAATTCAATTATTTTCAAAGGTTAGCTTTAAAAATCCCGGTGAAAGGTGAAAAAATTTGCAGATATTGTTTGAAGTTGATCGAAACGAAGAATGGATATGATTTTCGGATTCCTGATAGTCGATTTGCTTTAAACGACATACGGGACGGGGGTGCTGAACGAAGATTTTAGCCAGGCACTTTCCAGACTCGGTTCAATTACGCGACTTTGTGTAAAAAGAATAATTCCGGAATTGCGAAATGCAGAAATTTGAGCGATTCAATCTTTAGTGTGACATCCAACTAGAATATAGCCAAAAAGATTAGCCCGCTTACTCCTTCTAGAACAACAGTTATGCCGGCAAGAAGTTTTGCTTGAAAAGTGCCTGATTGAAATTCCCAGCTACAATACCCCATACAATCTTAAATTTTGTTGTGACATCCAACTAGAATATAACTAAAATCCTAGACAGCTTACTCCTTCTAGAACAACAGTTATGCCAGCGAGAAGTTTTGCTCAAAAAAGTGCTTGACTGAAATTGAAAAAACAATACCCGTGTCATATGTCGTTTAAAGCAAATCGACTATGGGGAATTCAAAAATCGAGTTCATTTCTACTGCTTCAGTACTGTTGGCAGTGTTTCCTACCTTCCTCCTCCTCTTCCGGCGCTTTCATCTTCCCAATTGCTTTATCAGTGAGCGCCTCGAAGAGTAGCTCCTGCCCAACGTGCTTTCGTTGTTCCTAAAGAAATCAGAACTAAATTAGAAGCCAAAAAGCTATCAAGAAGCTATCTGAAAAGCTAAAAAGTCAAAGTCAAAAGTCGTTCTAAGTCAAAAGTCGATATTTATGTCAATTTTCGGGAATCTTGTTCTCTTTTTACCTGCGATGGGATCTTTGTCGGCGGATCGATTCGAATTTTTGGGTCCCATTCTCCTGGTGGCAAAACTGTGGCCTAAATTTTAATCTATAAGCTGGCCAAGACCTAATTTGACTAATAGAATGAATATTTATATGCAAAGGGTCTCCTGACATCCAGGATTGATCATACAGTTGTTGGATTTGCGAAAAAGTGAAGAAACGACGTATTGTAGATTAGATCCTGGAACCCTGGGGACCCTATGAGGCCGGCTACAGTAATCCTTTACTTAACTATTCCAAAGGGCTTCGTGACATCCAGGATTTATCATACAGTTGTTGGATTTGCAAGAAAGTGAAGGAAACCAGCAAATCCAGCCTCGGACCCCGAGAGCCTCGGAACCCTCTAAGGCCGGCTACAGTAACCCGGTACTTTTCTATATCCAAAGGGCCTCGTGACATCCAGGATTTAGTATACAGTTGTTGGATTTGCAAGAAAGTGAAGGAAACCAGCAAATCCAGCCTCGGACTCCGAGAGCCTCGGAACCCTCTGTGGACCGGCTACAGTAATCCTGTACTTATCTATTCCAAAGGGTCTCGTGACATCCAGGATTCACCATACGCTTATAAAGGAAAAGAATTATGGCCATTTTCATGGTAAACGAAGCCAAAACTCTCACTTGATCCAGAAATTCATCCACTCCGTCCAAGAGATCGTCCTTATTTCGCGCTTTGTAGGCAACGTCGTGGAAAACCTGAAAAAACAAATAAAACTGGTAAACTGGTAACTGGTAACTGGTAAAACAAAACTTGCAGAACCAGTTCCCTTAACTCAGAAACTTTTCTATTCTCATTTGCTTATATCGATAATCTAAATATCTCAATAACTACAGTGACATCCAGCTTGTAAGAATAACATTTAATGAACAGGATTCTACAGTAACCCGCCTGAAAAATCACGCAGCTACCGTAGCCCGGTTCAGAGGTTTTGTTAGTTTCCTATATTATAAGCATTTTAAGACTCCAATACTCCTAGTGACTTCCAGCTTATAAGAATCTCACTTGACGAAAAGGATTCTACAGTAACCCGCCTGAAAAATCACCCAGCTACCGTAGTCCGGTTCTCCAGGGGTTTTTTTTGATAATTTAAATTTCTACTGTGATCCCCAGTGAAATTTCTACTGTGATATCCAGCTTACAAGAATCATATTTGATTTTAGCCCAATTTTCATCCTAGCTCCTTACTGCATCCCAGCTATATGGGATGATCTCGATCAAAGCCATTTTCTAGCCAAAATAATACAATTCAGCCTAAACGAAGTGTTATTCTTGCGATCTGGATGTCACAGTGCACATAAAAATATTTAGTTTACAAAAAAAGCAAAAATTTAAGCCCGGGATCGAACCAGCACCCTCCGCTTTGGAGCCAAGCTCGCTAGCCACTCGGCCACCAGTGCTTTTGCTTATATCGATAATCTAAATATCACAATAACTATTGTGACATCCAGTTTGTAAGAATAACATTTGACGAACAGGATTCTACAGTAACCCGGATGAAAAATCACCCAGCTACCGTAGCCCGGTTCAGACGTTTTGTTAGTTCACTATATAATAAGCATTTTAAGACTCCAATACTAGCTAAGCATCGATCTGGAAGTCACAGAACCTATAGGGATAACTAGAGACCTCTACAGTAACCCGGTTGAAAAGTAACCCGGTTACCGTAACCCGGTCCGACTAGATTTTGTTAGTTTACCATATTACGAGTCTCTTAAGACTCCAATACTCCTCGTGACTTCCAGAATCGCAAAATTTCCATTCAAACAATAGTTAAGCGAGATTTATTTGCTTCTCCAGCCTTGAACTCACATCATCGCTCAACAGTGTGGCGATGGCTCTCCCAATCTCGTTGTATTGAGTCCCATGCCCGGTTGGACCCAACAAAATGAAGATAAACCGAGTGGGGACTTGCACCTGATGAATTTACAAATATCTCGTCTAATCCGATTTGCCAACCTCTGACATATCACCCAAAACCGTCGCGTTCTTCAGTCGGATGAATGCGGCGACGTGGCGTGGCAGGAATTCACACTAAACAGTTTTGTTAATCAAATTGGATATCACATCAAATTTTGGACTGATCAAATTTCTACAAGACTTCATTTCTGCAATTTTACAAAAATTGGGTAATTTTGGTGGATTCCAGATTTTTTTAAAGCTAACCTTTGAAAATAATTAAATTTTCGGATTTCCTATAGTCGATAACCTTTAAACGACACCAAACACGGGGGGTTTTGGGGCAGTTTTGAGGCAGGCACTTTTGACAGGAATTTCCGTCCAGCACCCCTGTCCCATATGTCGTTTAAAGCAAATCGACTATCAGGAATCCGAAAATCACATCCATTTTTCGACTAGATCGACTCCAAGCAATATATGCAAATTTTTTCACCTTTCACCGGGATTTTTGAAGCTAACATTCGAAAATAATTGAATTTTCGGATTCCCTATAGTCGATAACCTTTAAACGACACCAAACACGGGGGGTTTTCGGGCAGTTTTGAGGCAGGCACTTTTGACGAGAAAAGGAGCGCCGCTGAAAGTGACTGCTTGCCGGAAATTTCCAGCTCCATATTTTGGCTATATTCTAGTTGGATGTCACACCGAAGTTTGAATTGATCAACTTTACGGAATCAAATCAAATTATGGAATTTCAATCAGGCACTTTTCGAGCAAAACTTCTCGCCGGCATAACTGTTGTTCTAGAAGGAGTAAGCTGTCTAATATTTTGGCTATATTCTAGTTGGATGTCACACTAAAGCTTGATTCAAGTCCAAATTGATTCAATCAAATTTGGATTCGGCTCTCTTACACAAAGTTGCGTAATTGAACCGAGTCTGGAAAGTGCCTGGCTGAAATCTCCGCTTAGCACCCCCGTCCCATATGTCGTTTAAAGCAAATCAACTATCAGGAATCCGAAAATCACATCCATTTTTCGATTAGATCAACTCCAAGCAATATATGCAAATTTTTCACCGTTCACCGGGATTTTCAAAGCCAACCTTCGAAAATAATTGAATTTTCGGATTCCTGATAGTCGATAACCTTTAAACGACACCAAACACGGGGGGTCTTGGGTCAAAGTTGAAACAGGCACTTTTGGTGGGACGAGGAGCCCCTCGGAAAGTGGTCGTTTGCCGGAAATTTTCAGCTCCATATTTTGGCTATATTCTAGTTCGATGTCACACTAAAGCTTGAGCTAATATTTCTGAATCTGGGTCTTTTACACAAAGTTGCGTAATTGAACCGAGTCTGGAAAGTGCCTGGCTGAAATCTCCGTCCAGCACCCCCGTCCCGTATGTCGTTTAAAGCAAATCGACTATCAGGAATCCGAAAATCACATCCATTTTTCGTTTCGATCAACTCCAAGCAATATATGCAAATTTTTTCACCTCTCCAATGAGCACATTGCCCGCCTCGCTGCCTGGGGGTAATTTCTTCAAAAAATGCGTGTTTCCCTTGAAAGAAACATCTGAATTCGAGCCATTTTTCGACATATCCGTTGGCTGGGAATCCACCTAAAAAAAAAAATTTGGTTTTAAATTTCTCGAATCGAAATTCTCAAAAAATTTTTTTCAAACATTAGTTCTAAAAAGGCTTGTGAGTGAGAAAAATCAAAGAAAATCGTTCAAAGAAAAAGAGCAACTTAATAGAAATCACCGTAGTTCTTATTTTCAATAGAAATTTCACAGATTTTCCACGAACTACGGTGATCGTACGACTTGGCATGAAATTTATGCTCAAAATTGTGTAAACGCAAGCTTTCTAGCGCGCTAGGCTCTCATCTGGAGGTCACAGCACACTCTCAATCCATTTCGAATCGGTTTACTTGTACTTTACTTTTTGTACTAAGTACAGTAAAGGCTCGTAATGAAAAATGCTGTCAGCTCCATTTTACTATTCCCAAAATGTGCTGTGACCTCCAGATCACTGTTTCCAGTGCACCAGAATGCACGCGTTTACAAATTTTCAACTCAAAGTTCATCGACAACGTTTTGGTTAAAATTTCGGGTTTTTTTTCGCTCCTTTTTCACCTCTTTTTTCGAAAGATCGAGATTCGATTTGGAAAACTAAAATCCCAGTTATTCTCTACTAAAAAACCTCATTTTTCAAAAATCTCAGTCCCCTCGAGGACTCGAACCAGCACCTCTCGGATCGTGGACCAAGCGCGCTATCCACTAAGCTATAAGTGCAAATGCTTAGATTCATTACCTAACTATTATAATTAGTTATGTGACTTCCAGATTGACTTCTGGTCATTGTAAAAGTTCAAAATGCTTAGAGGATTTCGTTTTAAAGCACCGAACTCGAAAGTCTAAAACTACCGTAACCAGATACAGTAAGCTTTGTTTTTTAAATATCTCTATAGCTTCTGTGATTTCCAGATCGACGTTTAGCTATTGTAAAAGTCTAAAAAAGCTTAAGGAATCGTTTCTATAGCACCGAACTCAAAACCCCAAAGCTCTGGAGTACTGTAATAGGATCGGCTATGTTTTAAAGATCGCTATAGGTTCGGTGACTTCCAGATTGATGCTTAGCACTCGTGAAAGTCTAAAAAAGCTTAACGAATCGTTTCTATAGCACCGAACTCGAAAAATCGTTTGTTTTCGGTAGGTTTCGAAAGTGTTAAGCTTTTTTTGAGGTCTAAACACTCCAAATCTAACAGCTACAGGTTCGCCAAACGATAAAAAATGCTAAATATCGAATTTAGCCAACTTTTTCACCCCACAAACCTTTGGCAATTCCAGTGTCGTGCCGGTTTGGTGCTCGGTGCCAAGTTTTCCGAGATTTTTCCCGTGAGAGAAGGATTTGCCTAAATTTTCAAGCTAACCATTAGAAATAGATGCATTTTTCGCTTCAAAACCCAGAAGTAGCCATCGAAAAAGCCGATTTTGATTCCAAATTCTGTGAAATCCGGGTTTTTTTAAAGCTAACCTTCAAAAATAATTGAATTTTCGGATTCCCCATAGTCGATAACCTTTAAACGACACCAAACACGGGGGGTTTTCGGGCAGCTTTGAGGCAGGCACTTTTGACGGGAAGAGGAGTGCCTCGGAAAGTGGATGCTTGCAGGAAATTTTTAGCTTCAGATTTTGGCTATATTCTAGTTGGATGTCACACCAAAGTTTGCATTGATCAAATTTACGGAATCAAATCAAATTATGGAATTTCAATCAGGCACTTTTTGAGCAAAACTTCTCGCTGGCATAACTGTTGTTCTAGAAGGAGTAAGCTGTCTAGGATTTTAGCTATATTCTAGTTGGATGTCACAACAAAATTTAAGATTGTATGGGGTATTGTAGCTGGGAATTTCAGTCAGGCACTTTTCGAGCAAAACTTCTCGCCGGCATAACTGTTGTTCTAGAAGGAGTAAGCTGGCTAATATTTTGGCTATATTCTAGTTGGATGTCACGCTAAAGCTTGATTCAAGTCCAAATTGATTCAATCAAATTTGGATTCGGCTCTCTTGCACAAAATTGCGTAATTGAACCGGGCCTGGAAAGTGCTTGGCTGAAATTTCCGTCCAGCACCCCCGTCCCGTATGTCGTTTAGAGCAAATCGACTATGGGGAATCCGAAAATGAGGTCAATTTTGCACAAAAGCTCACCAATGTCGGAGATGGAGCGCACGGCGTTGAGGAAACCGCCCTGCTCGCCGGTGGAGCCGTTTTTCTTGGCCTGTTCATACTGATGTACGTGCGGCCGATTGAGGATTTCAGCCAGTTCGTCCCGGTCGGCCGGATCGATATCCCCGGCGTCTAACCACACGTCCAGGAGGGCTTCTGGAATAGACAGAATGATTTAGAATAAACTAGGCTTCAAATTGGAAGGCACTAGGACGATTGAAGGCAAAATATCCTATAGTTATCTTTATTTCAAAATCTGGTAACCTTGAAAGTTGCAAACTGGTTTTAAACGCGAAAAAACTGACCAACGATCGACGGGAGATCCGTTTGTGGCATATCAATCAACAATGATCCATTTAAAAGACAAGATCGGAGTTGAAAGAGTGCATGAAGGGACAGAGTGGCCACGTGTGGTTTTGACCAACGATTACCGCCTGGAAATTGTGTTGGATATTGTTTGAATGGAAATTTGGCAATTCTGGAAGTCACTAGGAGCATTGGAGTCTTAAGAGACTCGTAATATGGTAAACTAACAAAATCTAGTCGGACCGGGTTACGGTAACCGGGTCACTTTTCAACCGGGTTACTGTAGGTCTCTAGTTATTCCTAGAGGTTCTGTGACTTCCAGATTGATGCTTGGCACTCGTGAAAGTCTAAAAAAGCTTAAGGAATCGTTTCTAAAGCACCGAACTCGAAAGCCTAAAACTACCGTAACCAGATACAGTAAGCTTTGTTTTTTAAATATTTCTATAGATTCTGTGACTTCCAGATCGACGTTTAGCTATTGTAAAAGTCTAAAAAAGTTGAAGGAATCGTATCTAAAGCACCGAACTCAAAACACCCAAAACTCTAGAGTACTGTAGTAGGATCGGCTATGTTTTAAAGATCGCTATAGCTTCTGTGACTTCCAGATTAATGCTTAGCTATCGTAAAAGTCTAAAAAAGCTTAAGGAATCGCTTCTAAAGCACCGAACTCGAAAACCAAAAGCTACCGTACCCTGCTCAACGACTTCCTCGAATTTGACCCATCTTGCCGATTCTCTCCAACCATCTTTCTGCAATTCGGCCATTTCCGTGAAAAGCGACGGCGGTTGATCGGATTCTTTCAGCAAAAACATCACTCGAGCACCGGGGCCTGAAATTTTGCTCTAAAATCGAATCAAATCGAATTCAGATTTTTTTTTCTATCCATCTGGATGTCACTTTAGCTTTTTATCGTTTTACTTTGATCGTTTTCCTCGAAAAAACTCTTTTCTTCGACTTTACGCTTTTCTTTTGACGTTTTCTGAAGGAGCGGCCATTGCGAGGCTTTTTGAGTCATTGCGAGGCTGGTAAAATCCTTTTTAAACACCTATTTAAATCCTATTTGCCTTTGAAAAGCATAAAAAATCGAAATTTCAAAAAAGCAAAAAAAATTTGCCGACTCGGGGACTCGAACCAGCACCTCTCGGATCAAGAGCCAAAAATGCTAACCACTACACTATGCTTGAAAGTGTTTATATTAATCTACAAAATTTCCCACGCGTTTTGTGACTTCCAGATTGAAGCCTGCAGAAGTTTGAATAGCAAAAGCTTTCAAAAAAAAACGAGAATTTGGGCTTGATTCGAGAAAAGCCAGAAATAAGCCAGAAAATGGAAACAGAAAAGCTTAAAAAAGCGATTTTCTGAGGATCTGGAACGCACAAAGCGTTTAGAGATTTATTTTATGCCGATTCGAGCAAGTGGTTAGTGAACTGGTCTCTCAGTCGAATGATCGATGGTTCGACTCCCCGAGCTGACAGTGATTTTTTAAAATTCAATTTAAAAGTAAAAAAATCGAAAACTAAAACGTTTCGGTCGATAAAATAAAGGTATTCAATGGAAAAGGGACTCTATTTTTCTCAATTTGTTTCAGCAAAAAAAGAATTAGATTTTTGATGAAGGGGTAAAAGGAAAAAGAGCGGAAAAGAAAGACAATCTAACCTCCTATTCTCTTGAGAGAATTCTAGAGGAAGTCTTGTTATTTCTTATTGTTTTTGAGCAAAAACTAGCCCGGGATTAAGCCCGGAATCGAACCAGCACCCCCCGCTTTGGAGCCAAGCACACTAGCCACTCGGCCACCGGTGCTTTTGCTTATATCGATAATCTAAATATCTCAATAACTACTGTGACATCCAGCTTGCAAGAATAACATTTGACGAACAGGATTCTACAGTAACCCGCCTGAAAAATCACCCAGCTACCGTAGCCCGGTTCTCCAGGGGTTTTTTTTGATAATCTAAATATCTCAATAACTACTGTGACATCCAGCTTGTAAGAATAACCCCTTGTTTAAGCTGAATTGTTTTGTTTTGGCGAGGAAATGGCTTGGATATTGAAATACCGTACTCTAGAGTTGTTTTCATAGATTTAAATCTCGCTTAACTATTGTTTGAATGGAAATTTGGCGATTCTGGAGGTCACTAGAAGTATTGGAGTCTTAAAATGATTATAATATAGGGAACTAACAAAACCTCTGAATCGGGCTACGGTAGCTGGGTGATTTTTCATCCGGGTTACTGTAGAAACCTCTTCGTCAAATGTGATTCTTATAAGCTGGATGTCACTGTAGTTATTGAGATATTTAGATTATCAAAAAAACCCTGGAGAACCGGGCTACCCCCTGGAGAACGGTAGCTGGGTGATTTTTCATCCGGGTTACTGTAGAATCCTGTTCGTCAAGTGAGATTCTTATAAGTTGGATGTCACTGTAGTTATTGTGATATTTAGATTATCGATATAAGCAAAAGCACTGGTGGCCGAGTGGCTATTGTACTTGGCTCCAAGGCGGACGGTGCTGGTTCGATCCCGGGAGGCGTCAAAATTTTTGCTTTTTTCGTGAACTAAATATTTCTATGTGCACTGTGATATCCAGATCGCAAGAATAACCCCTTGTTTAAGCTGAATTGTTTTGTTTTGGCAAGGAAATGGCTTGGAGATTGAAATCCCGTACTCTAGAGTTGTTTTCATAGATTTTGCAATGAAAGAATCACTCAAGCAACACCTAGCTAAGCCTAGTTTCTAGAAAATAGAAAGATTCCATCCTTTCCGTCTTTCTAGACGTTGGGCTATGATGGCAAATAATATTCCCGCTCGGGGATCGAGTTACGAGAAGTAGGAGCCGAATAAAAGAGATTTCTTTTCTCTTTTCAATTCTTAGCTTTCCTCTCTTTTCTCAGGGATCCATCTAGAAAAGAATCGAGAAAAATTGCGTGATTCGAGAACAATTTCAGTCGATTTTCGTAAACAAGAGAATTCTCATGGAAAAATGCCAACAAATCATTGTTTTTTAAAGTTTTTTCCTGCTTTCTGGAAGTCACAGCAGTGAAAATTGAAAGTTTTTTTGATAAAAAGAGATTTAAAAAAATTTTTGGCAGCTAGCGGGATCGAACCCTCGGCCGAACTCCCCAGTTCCAGATTGCTAACAGCGACCACAACCATTTGACCATTGATGCAAAGTGGGAATTAGCATTTAATTTCTATGCAAATCGATGCTGTGACTTCCAGAATGGGTGGGAATTGCACAGAAAAGTTTCCTAGTCGAATTCCTGGACGTAAATTGGCTCGATCTCAAAACAGATTACTGTTGGAGCAAGACTGACTTAATTTCTATGCAAATCGATGCTGTGACTTCCAGAATCGCTAAAAATTGCACAGAAAAGTTTCCTAGTCGAATTCCTGGCCGTAAATTGGCTTGATCTCTGTTGGAGCGATAATTTATCATTTTTCTATCAAAAGAAAGAGAAAAGATCTGTTTTTAGTTGTTTTTTAACTGTTTGTAGCCTTTTTTTAGCTGTTTGTAGCCGCTTTTTAGCCGTTTTTAAGCCACTTTGAAAGTTTTACGACCCGTCGGGCAATCAGACAAAAATTGAATTATTTTTAGCTACAAAAAAACTTCGAAAATCAAAATTTTACGAAATTTTCAGATTTTTCATAAAATCTCACTAAAGTGACTTCCAGAATAAAAGAAAAAACAAAAAAAATCAAACATTAATTTGAAAAAAATTTCGATTTTTTGTCAGCTACCAATTTTCCCGAATCGATTTTTTTATTTTTGAAAATTTCGAGAATTTAAATGATTTAGATTCCTCTGTGACATCCAGCATTTGAGAAAAACCAAAAATTAGATGAAGTTAGCATAGAAAGAATTGAAGATTTGTTGAGAACGACTCACCGAGTTGACACAACTCGATACTCTCCCTGCGCTTCGACATCCGTCTTTTTCGCGATTCTCTGGAACTTTATTGATTTTCTGGAGATTTCAAATAGTTTCTTGAGGCCAATCTTTATAATGAAATAACTTCTAGAATCAAGAAACTAGAATTTCCTGAGAGATTTCTAAAATTTACAGGACTGAGTGAAAAATTCGAAATCTAGACAAGCAAACAGCTTTCCTTCACTATTTTTGAGGGTTCTGGAAAGCACTATAGCTATTCCATCAATTTTCGTAAAGAAAACAAAGCTTTGAAATATTTTGGCACCAGGCGGAATCGAACCCTCGACCCCAGCCTACCACTTGTTCTCAAATCCACTGCACCATGAACCCAAAAAGAGATTTCCTAGATTTTTCATTATTTTCTTGTGGTGTGCTTTCCAGAATTGAAAAAAAATTATCGGAAAATTCAGGTTTCTTTAATCCAAGGCAAAAATTTGACTCAAACTCGAATTTTTGTCGGGAAATTTACAGGACTGGGTGAAAATTTCGAAATCTAGACAAGCAAACAGCTTTCTTTAGCGATTTTTGAGGGTTCTGGATAGCACTATAGCTATTCCATCGGTTTTCGTAGGGAAAATAAAGCTTCGAAATTTTTTGGCTCTGGGAGGAATCGAACCCTCGACCTTTCGCCTGCCACTTTTCCTCAGACCCACTGCGCCATGATCCAAAAAAGAGATTTCCTAGATTTTTCATTATTTTCTGATAGGGTGACTTCCAGAATGATCTTTGTCTCAGCCAACTAATTGTAAAAGTGATTCCCAGGCGAGAAAATGGGCCGAACAACTGCCAGACAGCATCAAATGAACAACATTCGAAAGAAATCGGTCAACAACGTGCTTAGAACATCTAGTGACATCCAGAATGATAGAAAAACTATGGGAAAACTTTGATTTCTTGAATTCACAGCAAAAATTTGGCTCAAACTCTAAAATTTACAGGGCTGGGTGAAAATTTCGAAATCTAATAAAGCCAACAGTTTTTCTTTAACGATTTTTAAGGGTTCTGGATAGCACTATAGCTATTCCATCAATTTTCGTAAAGAAAATAAAGCTTTGAAATTTTTTGGCTCCAAGAGGAATCGAACCCTCGACCCTTCGCCTACCACTTTTTCTCAGACCCACTGCGCCATGATCCCGTAAATTTCGCCGTTATTTTTCAAATTTTTTGAATTACCGATTCTCTCTAATCTCATCCATCCGTTCCCACATCGTTTTCGAGCTTTCTGGCTTTGGCGACTTATCAGGGTCACTCGGCTCCTCGTCGTCGCTCATTTTTACAGCTTTTCTCAGAGAAAGTAAAGATTGTTTTTAGCAAAAATCGTCGATCTGGATGTCAGTAGGAATATTCAGAATGATTCCGATAGAAAAAAATCGAGTTTTAATTTTTCGAGTGATATTAGATTTTCGAATTTTTTAAAATCGAGATTTTCAACTTTCAAAGCTTTTGGGAATGTAAGTTGACTTCCAGGACCGAAGAAAATTCAATCAGAAATATAGATTTCCTAGAGAATTACAAAGATTTTAGTGATTGAAAATTGAAAGATCCGAGTTTCGGGCCGTAGAGGCCGTTTCGGGGGGAATATGGGGGGAAAGCCTTGAGAACCAAATAGAACGAAAAGATGGGGAAACGGGGAGAGGAGGAGGGAAAAGCTCTAAAGATGAAAAGAGGCGGGCATCGATCCACTCGGGGACACCCCTGTTGGGCTCTATCTGGGAAAAGGGACCCCATCCACAGCTGGCACCCATCCTAGAGTGCATTGAATTTGGGGCGCTCAGTTTTGGGCCACCAGTAAGTGGCCGGATATTGGCTGCTTTGGGGTAGGGTTGAGAATGGGGGGCTACAAGTCGTTAGCTTACCAGAAGCCCGAATTTTTTGACGGATTTCAACAATCTGGAATGCACAGCAGCTGTTAAAATCAAAAGTTGCTTATTTTGGTGAATTTAAATATTATTGCATGGGTGGGGTTTGAGAATGGGGGGCTACAAGTCGTTAGCCGACGAGAAGCCCGAATCTTTTGGCGGATTTCCATGATCTGGAATGCATAGCACCTGTTAAAGTGAAAATTTGCTTGTTTTAGCAAATTTTAATATTATTGCTTGGGTGGGGTTGAGAATGGGGGGCTGCAAGTCGTCAGCCAACAAAAAGCCCGAATTTTTTGACGGATTTCCACGATCTGGAATGCACAGCACATGCTAAAATCGAAACTTGCTTATTTTAGCAAATATTAGCGAATCGCGTTAGGTGGGGGTTGAGAATGGACGGCTACAAGTCGTTAGCCGACGAGTAGCCCGAATTTTTTGACGGATTTCCACAATCTGGAATGCACAGCACCTGTTAAAATCGAAAGTTGCTTATTTTAGCGAATTCTAATCTTAAACCACTTCACTACGCCACTCTACTCTAGCCAAATCGACTTTCCACCGTAAACCTTGCTTTTCTTGTCATCCCTGGCTTACATGCGTTCCAGGATTGACGAAAAGTCACAAATTATCCATCGCCAAGGCTTGAGGAGTTGTAAAAACCCTTGTACCTGATTGAGAACTATGAGATTGTTAAAAATTAACATTTAACCTTTAAATTTGCTTTTTTTCTATCACGTGCGTTCCAGGATTTTCAAAAAATCAATTTTTAAATCATAAAAATTCTTCTAGAGCTCTAAAATGAGGGGGTTCATTGTTTTCCTTTTTATGGAGTCAGTAAAAGTGGTAGAATGAGTTGGAGGGTCTGAGGAGACTCTGAGGAAGTCCCAGGGAGACGCTGAAGCTGTTTAGGTATGCATGTGAGAGAGCATTTCAGAGAATCCATCCATTTTCGAACCCATTTTTCCCAGATAATGACGTCACCTAATGCTGGCTAGGAAGCGCTCAATTATTTCGATTTTAAAAGCTATCGAAGCTTTTTCATAACCAAAAACCCACTTTCTATCCATTTCTGCACCGCTTTATCCACTTTTTTCCTCGTTTTTTCTCTTTTCTCTCTTGCGATTCAATCACACCGTGTTGGAGCCGATTTTGAGCTGAAATCTTTGGTATTTAGCGAAATTATCTAACTATTTAAGCAAGCTGGATGTCACAGAAGGTTATGAAAATGTTAAACAAGAGAAATAAAAAAAAATTGGAGCCAAGCGGAATCGAACCAGGGTCACTCGACTGGTGACCAAGCTCGCTAGCCACTCGGCCAAAGGCACAAAAGTTTAATGTGCAAAAGTTAGCTTCAAAAATGAACAAGAAACAAGAATGACTTCCAGGACAAAAGAATTTATGTTCTGTTTGCAAAAATTCGGCTCAAAAACCGGCTAAATTGAAGCGAAGTCAAATTGAAAAAACCAAATTCTCCAAAAATGATCTAAGCCTTTCAAAAACTTTATCAAATGATTACATGACTTCCAGAATAGAAGAATTTATGTTTTATTTCTAAAAATTCGACTTAAAAACCGGCTAAATTCAAGCAAAGTCAAAATGAAAAAACCAAATTCTCCAAAAATGGTCTAAACTTTTCAAAAACCTTGCAAAACTATCGAATGACTTCCAGATTCGCAAAATTTATCAAAGAAACGGAGAGTTTTTTTGTGAAATTGCTCCAAAATAAAAGCGTTTGTTTATTTTTGGATCCTCAGCAAATAGAGGTGGGTTTTTTTGAAAGGAAAAACACCAGAATTCAGACTTTTTGAAAACTTGAAAGGAAATTTGAGTAAATAGGAAGAAACTAGAGAAAAATTGTTGCAAACGCTCGGCCCCTGGCAAACATTTATAAACATTTATAATTTTTAGTTTTCGAATTTTTGCCAAAATTTTTTGCGTAAACGGTGCTGTGACCTCCAGAAGCTATAAAAAACGAGTAAAACACAATTTTTCGTGAAAAAGAAATAAGGAAATCACTCAGAGTTTCGTTGATTTGTTGTTGGACTCTTTTCCTCGAGATTTACATAAGCTCTAAGCTTTTTAAAGAAAGATTCATGAGATCTGGATGTCAGGCAACAATTGAAAAGCATTAAAACTTGAAATAAAACGATTTGGATGCGGGAGGAATCGAACCAGGGTCACTCCGCTCACTAACCAAGCTCACTAGCCACTCGGCCATCGGGCCGCCTACGGTAATCTCTATTTAAAATTAGCCAGCAGCAAGTGTGACTTCCAGAATCATCTTTAGCTTTTACGAAAAAGCTCAAAAACGGATTCTTTTTACCTAAAAACGTCCAAACTCCAACAAAAAAAAAGAAAATTTTTTAAATGGTTAAAACTTTTTAAAAATTGCGTCAGATTGTTCAGTGACATCCAGGATTAGCTTTAGCTTTGACGAAAGAGCTCAAAAACGGATTCTTTTTACCTAAAAACGTCCAAACTCCAACCAAAAAAAAAGAAATTTTTTTAAATGGTTAAAACTTTTTAAAAATTGCGTCAAATGGTCCAGTGACATCCAGGATTTAAAAATCCGTTCGAGTTTTTAAAAATCTCACTCAAAGAAGCAAGGTTTTCAACTCAAACTCAGATCGCTTTGATGAGTGCCGAAATTTACGATGTGTTAAAGTGTCAAAATGAATTTTTGGGCAATTTTATGGAATCTCGTTGGAAAAAAGGTGAGAAAAGTGGTGAGAAGTGGGTGGAAAAGCAGAAAAGGCAACCCCGTTACGAGCCGATAACGACCAAACGACCAAAACTGATAACTTCAACAATCCGCCGCCAAACTCACCCAAGCACTTCGCCTGAGGTCCATAGCAGCCGATTATGCCCTTGCTTTCTTTCTATTTCTCTTCCATTCCCGAGTTTTTCAGCCATTCTCAAATGATCTCTGTTTTTTTCCTTTTTTGACGTTTGAACTTGGAAAAATATCAATAAAATGTCTGGAATATCAATAAAATCTTCCTTAAAGTGTCCTAAATCGTTTAAAATAAAGAAATAAAGAAAAAAAGCAAAAATCTTTCCCCAGCCGGACTCGAACCCGGGGGGTGACCGCCTGAAAACAGCGCCCACTACCACTCGGCCATCCTTTCACTAACTCCAATCCAGGTTCTGAATGGAAAATTTTCTAGTGTGACATCCAGATCAAACAATGGCTTCAAAATTTCGGTGCCTTGATAAGAAGAAAAATCGAAAAATCGTTCGAATCAGTTCCTGCCTAAAAATTTTGCGAAAAAAAGGCAAAAATTGAACAAAAATCGAATGAAAATGTTAAAGTGTGCGTTCCAGGATTGCCGAAAATCGAACAATCAAGTCCAACAACGTCAAATTTGGCTTGAAATGCGGTGGGCAAAATTTTCAAACAGATCTTCGGTTATATTTCTCTATTCCAGCTTTTGTGGGAGAAAAGAGGCAATCGAGAGCATCAAAATCTCTTGGAAAGCCAAGGAAATCCCTCGGGAGTTCCCCAGGGATGGGCCAGGGATCGGCTAAATGGAGAGAAGAGGATGGCGGAGGGTGGAAAAGATTTCATGACGTTCTGCTCGGATATATAGAACTTAGGAAAAAGTTATCTAGCTAAAGGTCGGTCCTGGAGGTCACAGTACAAGATCGTAGAAGGAATTGAGCTCAATTCTGAGGTTTTACAAAATTTCATTTCTGCCTCGACCGGACTCGAACCTCGAATCGCTAGAATATAGAATCTCTAGAATATAAAAGCTAGCATCGTCCTAAATCGATAAAATCAAGAAAACCGCGAAAAACGCGAAAACTTTTCTTCGGCCGGACTCGAACCCGGGGGGAGGGACGGTTTTTCGCCTGGAAACAGCGCCCACTACCACTTGGCCATACCCCCACCAACTCCAATTTAGTTTTTTAATGGTAAATTTTCTAGCGTGACATCCAGATCGAATCATGGCCTTAAAATTTTTTCAATTTGATAAGCGAGTTAGCAGCAATCAATTTGAATCGGTTCGTGCCAAAAATTTTGCGAAAAAAAACGCAAAAATCGACGGTAAATCAAAAGAAAATGTGAAAGGGTGCGTTCCAGGATTGCCGAAAATCGAAAAAACAAATCCAAGAACGTCAAATTTTGATCGAATATTTGGCTCGATCGGTATCATGAGGGTTTTACTTGGATAGATAGAAGCTAGGAAAAAGTTATTTAGCTAAATGTCGCTCCTGGAGGTCACAGTACAAGATCGTAGAAGAAATTGAGCTCAATTCTGAGGTTTTACAGGATTTTCATTTTTTGCCCTGTCCTTCCTTTCGATCTCGTCAAGTTTTAGGCAAAAATATGAAAGATTATCGAAATCTAAAGATGCCAAAGTGAATCCTGGATGTCATCGGGGAGATTAGCGCAAAAAATTGGGATC